CATGCCATCTGAGATATATGAACTTGGGCCTAACTCCATTCTTGTAAGGACACCACTGGCACTCCCTTAACAAGAATTTTTAAAACAGTGATCCCTTTCCCTCTTCTATGCGTCTCCTAGCCTCTCCACTGGACCTTTACGCTTTGAGAGGTTACTCAAGGCTTATTTTAAAAACAGTTTAAACTTTTAACTTGGAGTTAAGACATGCTTTTATCATATACTCAGTATGAAACATAAAATTCTTTACAAGAATTATAAAACTTTTAAAAATTAAAAATTTTTATAAACAAACATTGTATTATATATATATATATTCAAAAAATGGACAAACCGGAAATAGCAATCCTTGATAGATTGATCTATTATTGTACTTATTGTAGTCTATGTAGTACAAGAAGTTACGTAGTACCTAGTCCAATTATGTATATATTAATTAGTATTGTCTCATTTCTTCGAGATACGATTATTTTTCAGTGGTTTAATCTTCTGTTATATACATTGATCTGTTAGAATATTTCACTAAAAGAAATCACAAAAGTCGTTATACAAAATTTGTTTTAGTAAAAATCTAAAGATATATTCATCGAAGCATCAAATTTATTGATAATAATAAAAAAATAATTTATTCCTTAAAAGTAGTATAGCGAATAATAAATATGCAAGACTTAGCTTTTGTCTACGCATTGGTTACAAAGTAGTTCCTTTATATCTTGTGCCCATTTTTGTGAAGTAGAGGGTAGAAAACATCAAACAAATTACTTAATTATATTTGTTTTCTGTTCAAAACTTCTATAATCCCTTCTTATACCGGACATAATCTCTAGACCCATTTGGCTCTCAGAATGAAATGGAAACAACACTAAATTCAATGAACATTCAGAGAGAACCAAGAAAGTAATAAATATAATTTCAAACAAGGCCATCAGAGTACAAGAATAAATTATGGAACAACAACCCTAGATACACCTCTAACTATATATCATCTTGGTACAAATAACAAATTCATCTTTGACCAACTTTCACTTGCAGATATTACAATGATTGTGTGCAAAATTACAGGCAAAGAGGTGGATGCAAACTGGTCCAACATGTAAAGATTTGATCTTTGTAACGCTTTTAGGTCCTTATTGGTAATTAAACTAATTTCCCCGACAATTCGATTCTTGGATCTTGACCTCTGGAAGCCTTTCTTTATTCTGTGTTTGTAATGGAATGCTGCAATATGAAAAATATAACAGTTAGACTAATGATTTTAGAATTTTTAGTTTGATAGATATTATACATAATGATATTTGAACAATTACTTACATGACTGCCAGAGGAAAACCACGAACTTCTTGACGATTAATAGTGGGTCGGAGGAGGTGGAGAAGCATATATGTAGACTGGTGGGGGAGGTGACTTCACAGGAGGGGGAGGTGATGTGTAGTAGTATGGTGGTGGGGAAGATGGTGATGGAGGAGGTGGGGATTTGTAGATGTAGGGAGGAAGGGGTGAGGGAGATGGTGGCGGTGGGGACTTGTAATAGTAAGGTGGTGTGGGTGAGGGTGATGGTGGTGGAGGAGACTTGTAGTAGTATGGAGGAGGAGGAGATGGTGATGGTGGTGGGGGAGATTTGTAATAGTAGTGCGGTAGAGGTGAGGGTGATGGTGGTGGTGGGGACTTGTAGTAATAGGGAGGTGGGGGAGATGGTGATGGTGGTGGTGGAGACTTGTAATAGTAAGGTGGTGGCGGGGTGGGTGATGGTGGTGGTGGAGATTTGTAATAGTAATGTGGTACGGGAGAAGGTGATGGTGGTGGAGGAGACTTGTAGTAGTATGGAGGAGGAGATGGCGATGGTGGTGGTGGAGATTTGTAGTAGTAGTGTGGTTGAGGTGAGGGAGATGGTGGTGGTGGGGACTTGTAGTAGTAAGGAGGTGGCGGAGAAGGTGATGGTGGTGGTGGGGACTTGTAGTAGTAGGGAGGCGGGGGAGATGGTGATGGTGGTGGAGGGGACTTGTAGTAGTATGGAGGATGAGGAGATGGGGATGGCGGTGGTGGAGATTTGTAATAGTAGTGTGGTAAAGGTGAGGGTGATGGTGGTGGTGGGGATTTGTAATAGTAAGGTGGTGGTGGTGAGGGTGATGGTGGTGGAGGGGATTTGTAATAGTAAGGTGGTGGTGGGGAGGGTGACGGTGGGGGAGGAGATTTGTAGTAGTATGGAGGATGAGGAGATGGAGATGGTGGTGGTGGAGATTTGTAATAGTAGTGTGGTGAAGGTGAGGGTGGTGGCGGTGGCGGGGATTTGTAAATGTATGTTGGTGTTGGTGTTGGTGGAGGTGGTGATTTGTACTCATAAGTAGGTGTGGGTGGCGGTGGAGACTTGTACACATAGGTCGGTGTTGGTGGCGGTGGAGACTTGTATACATAAGTAGGTGTAGGAGGTGGTGGTGACTTGTAGTAATATGTTGGTGAAGGTGGTGGAGGAGATTTGTATACATAAGGAGGGGTTGGTGGTGGTGGAGATTTGTATACATAAGTAGGCGTTGGTGGAGGTGGTGACTTGTAGACATAAGTAGGTACTGGAGGAGGTGGTGACTTGTACTCATAAGTAGGCGTGGGTGGCGGTGGAGACTTGTACACATAGGTTGGTGTTGGTGGTGGTGGAGATTTGTACTCATAAGTAGGTGTGGGTGGCGGTGGAGACTTGTACACATAGGTCGGTGTTGGTGGCGGTGGAGATTTGTACTCATAAGTAGGCGTGGGTGGCGGTGGAGACTTGTACACATAGGTCGGTGTTGGTGGCGGTGGAGATTTATACTCATAAGTAGGCGTTGGTGGAGGTGGAGATTTGTATTCATAAGTGGGCGTGGGTGGTGGTGGAGACTTGTACTCATAAGTAGGCGTGGGTGGCGGTGGAGACTTGTACACATAGGTTGGTGTTGGTGGTGGTGGAGATTTGTACTCATAAGTAGGTGTGGGTGGCGGTGGAGATTTGTACTCATAAGTAGGCGTGGGTGGCGGTGGAGATTTGTACTCATAAGTAGGCTTTGGTGGTGGTGGAGACTTGTACTCATAAGTAGGCGTGGGTGGCGGTGGAGACTTGTACACATAGGTTGGTGTTGGTGGTGGTGGAGATTTGTACTCATAAGTAGGTGTGGGCGGCGGTGGAGACTTGTACACATAGGTCGGTGTTGGCGGCGGTGGAGATTTGTACACATAGGTCGGTGTTGGTGGCGGTGGAGACTTGTATACATAGGTCGGTGCTGGAGGAGGTGGGGACTTATAGACATAAGTTGGCGACGGTGGTGGAGGAGACTTGTAGTAGTACGGAGCCGGGGTCGGCTTCGGCTTCTTACATTCCTCATATGGAATCTTTGGAGCATAAGCAAATGGTTTAGCATAGAGCACAACTTCATACTTATCCTTGGATTTCACCTTGAGCTTGGCTCCCTTCTTTCCCCAGTGAAGATTTGTTGGAATGTTACACTTTGATCCCTTTGGTGGTGCATGGAGTTTAGCCTTGCATGCCTTTGCTCCATAGTTCCCATACTTAAAACCTTCAACTGTTATACTGTATTTTCCATTAATTTTTGTTTTTCCATATGCCTTAATTTCCTTGTCACCAGCCTTGCATGTCACTTCCACAACAGCACCTGTTTCATGTGCGCAAAATTAATTAACTAAAGTTGCTGCCAACCATTTTAGAATATATTCTTGGACAAATATTGCTTGCACAGTAACCAATAATATTGTCCTTTCCATATTGTTAATTGAAGTAATAAATATTAATATTACAATATTTTAATGCAAATTGTAATTAATCAAATAATACTTATTAATCGGAATCTCTTTACAACAAGATTGGATCATAAATAAAGCCGCAAGTTGAGTTGGTCATGATGATACAAAATGAATTACATTTATTATTGGTTAATTATATAATTTACATACAATTACTCAATCATTATGCAACGAACTTTGAAATTTGAAAATAGAGATTTACAGACAATCATTGCTGTAAGAAATAGTCCAACAAATTCACTTTCATTGTTGACCATGCTCAAGTCATTTTTAAAATAAAATTTTAATTTCAACTTTAGTGTAAATTACAAAAAAATCTTATCAATTTACAATTCAATGTGTGATTTTTTTATTATTATTATTATTTTTTTTTTTCAAATGCAGTTTCGAAATTGAGGTAATTATGAACTGGAAATTATTGAAGCATGCAAATATGTAAGAATAAAGGAAAATTAATCAATGGGAATATAATAAGTTGTACCTTTTAGGTGTTTCTTGTTATGGGACTTCTCTGGGTAGGTCCAGTCATAGCATTTGAAGCAGTATACTTTGCCTACTACCTTGACAACGAAAGGATGGTGTGGTGGGTAGTGGGGAACTGGTGGTGGTGGAGGAGAAGTGTAGTAGTATGGTGGAGGTGGAGATTTCTTTGGTGGTGGGGGAGACACATAATAGTATGGAGGAGGTGGTGATTTAACTGGTGGAGGTGGAGAGGTGTAGTAGTATGGTGGTGGTGGAGACTTCTTTGGTGGTGGGGGAGACACATAATGGTATGGAGGTGGTGATTTAACTGGTGGAGGTGGAGAGGTGTAGTAGTATGGTGGTGGTGGAGACTTCTTTGGTGGTGGGGGAGACTCATAATGGTATGGAGGAGGTGGTGATTTAACTGGTGGAGGTGGAGAGGTGTAGTAGTATGGTGGTGGTGGAGACTTCTTTGGTGGTGGGGGAGACACATAATAGTATGGAGGAGGTGGTGATTTAACTGGTGGAGGTGGAGAGGTGTAGTAGTATGGTGGTGGAGGGGACTTCACTGGTGGTGGTGGAGAAGTGTAGTAGTAAGGAGGAGGTGGAGACTTAGTGGGTGGTGGTGGAGATTTGTAATAGTATGGTGGAAGTGGTGATGGTGAGGGGGGTGGTGGAGATTTGTAGTAGTATGGTGGTGGAGGAGAGGGTGAAGGTGGTGGTGGCGATTTGTAGTAGTATGGTGGTGGTGGTGAGGGAGAAGGTGGTGGTGGAGATTTGTAATAATATGGTGGATGTGGTGAGGGGGAGGGTGGAGGGGGAGATTTATAGTAATATGGTGGAGGTGGTGGCGGTGACTTATAGACATAAGGAGGTGGTGGTGGTGACTTGTACACGTAAGGTGATGGTGATGGTGAGGGTGGTGGAGGAGATTTATACACATAAGGTGGTGGTGGAGATGGAGAAGGAGGTGGTGGTGACTTGTACTCATATGGCGGTGGTGGAGATGGAGAAGGAGGCGGTGGCGACTTGTACTCATAGGGCGGCGGTGGCGGCGACTTGTACTCGTAAGGAGGTGGTGGAGATGAATAAACATATGGGTCAGCCGAAACAACACTAGAAATCGCCAAAATGGCCAATGCCACTAGGAATTGTGGCAGCATACGGCCCCTTACGGGGCCGCCGCCCTGTGTCGTCATTTCTCAGCCAAAAGAATTTACCAATTCCGGACAATTTCGACCTCAACCTCCCTTTCTGTCTTGTGACAAGGATACAAGACAAACTCTCCTAGTATATTAGTTAGAAAGTGATGAGTAAGTGTGTTCAATAACTCCAATATATAGAGCAAACTATAAAGATTAGCTGTTGTTAGAATAGGGCTGTCAATTAGTGACCCATTCAATTGATTACAAGTAATTTGAACAATTTTATACTCTTAGCAGCTGGAAAATTAATTATTTTAAGTCCATATTCGATCCACTTGATTTTCTCAATTTATTTCTGTTATGGACAAGTCACCTGCTACGTACACAGTTTAAAAAATTACAAACTTGAACATGATTATACTTTTAATTTTGTTGACACCACCCATGCATCTTCTTATGAATTGCAAGACTATACATTATTTTGTCTTGAGTTAATCATCAAGTTCATTTCTTTTTATATAATTTCGAAAAGAAAATCGAATCCCAACTACTTATCTTGCTTTGTTCGGACAATTGAGTAACGACCTTTTAACAAGTACGATATAAAAGAACCATGTTCGTCGAACGTGTAATCACGCAAAATCCGTCAACATTAAATTTCTTCATTTTCTTTACTATATATGTTTAATGTGTTGACAAGATCCATACACCTTCTTCTCAATTGCAAAACTACATTGTTTTGGGGTTGAACCCCAACTTTGAGGGCCCCCAACGCCTCGTCCCTAGAGCTTTGTGAGGGACGTAAATCGCGTGATGTGTCCCAGGAGGTCAGAGAATAAGAGTTGAATGTACACTGCGCTTACAAGGAATCCAATTTCATGTCTCAGGAATCAAACCTCCACACTGCGGCTGTCAGCAAGGCGTGGGATAACATCACTCCTGTCCTTTACACCACTGAGTTAATTATACAGTTCAGTTATTTCTGTATAATTTCAGAAAAAAAGGGTTAAACACCCCAACTACCTATATTGCTTTGTTAAGACAACTGGATAACAACTTCTAACGTGCGGGACATAAAAAGAATTGTCTTTTTAACTTGTATGTTTATTTTTTTGTACTTTCTATCTATCTTGCTTGATTACGCAAAATTCATCTCCATTAAATTTCGTCATTTTCATTACTATATATTTCCACATTTCATATATATTTCTAACTTGTCGTTAACTTTCACGTACCTTCTTATGAGTTTGCAAGTTTATACGTTAATGTTTTATCTTGATTTTAATCGTTCTAGATATTTTCCCTTTTTTTTAATTATAAATTTCCGTTGTGTCTATATGATTTCGTAAAAAAGGTTAAACCACAAATTCCCATATTGCTTCGCTAAATCAATCCCTCGGGACATTAAAAGAATTGCGATTTGTTGAGCACAATTGCGACGCTCGTGATTTAACCATTTCTTCACTTTATTTATAAATATTGGCACTACTCCTCCACTAGGATAGATGTGTACATAATGGTATTTAGAATTTACATGTTGTCACAATATATCGTAGAAATCCATGTGATTTCTCAATTATGAGATGTGCATGTGGAAGCATTCAATCATTTTTGCAGCCTTTTCTTGATGTAATCATAAAAGGCAAAAAAGAAGAAGAAAAGTCTATATTTGTGTTTGAATTAATTTAGGGGTTTTTCTCAAGAAACTATAATTTCCAGTTACTTTCAATTACAGATATTTTCCACACACTTTTGTGAGATTGATTGTTTGATAAATTAAAGATTGGAAATTCCCCTCTTAATTTGTTTTTAATCGTATAGCCTAATACAACTCAAACAATTAGAAAAATGAATAATAATTGTTTAGATAGATTCTAGATAATTTTTACTCGTTCATGTCAAATTGTCGTTGATGAGTAACCTTACAACTTGAATTTACAATTTTTGCTTGCTTCAATGCAAAATCAATTTTGTAAAAATGTTATTATATTCATTTTTTAATATGTTTACTTTCGAGTAATATATGAAAAATCTATTTTTCTCGTAAAATGCCAAACATAAAATTTCAATAAATATGTAATGGTAAATACAATATCTTCGCTTGCTCTGAAGCATAATGTGTGTTCTCAAAATGTTTAAATTACTAAAATGCTGGTATATTTCGAGTAAAAATACAATTTGATTTTAAAATTTAAAAAAAAATAAAACAAATCTGCGGATATTCATGAAAACATGAATATTTGGTAATTAATAAATATATTCTGGCATTTATTAGGTTAAAAAATGATAAAATAAAATATGACGCAAAATTAGAATGCTCTGTTGAAAAGTGTCAACCCGTGGGCGGTCCTTAATTATGCTTTAACGTAGATTGTTAAATTAATTAGAGATTAATTATATATTATTTTAGATTATTTGCAATCCATAAGGACGACTTGGTTTAAGTATTTAAATGTTCTTACTTAATAAATGTAAATACAGATTCTTTAATCATTTCATCGCCTCGACGTAAATTAACACTAAAATAATGTGCTTTGGATAAAATGAAATCAATAAAATAGATAATTTTCGACAAGATTTACATGAAGATTTCGCACTTTGGAAAAAAAACTCGTAGGACTCTTCATTGACTTCACGTGAACATAAGATAACATGTTATGAAGATTGCGAAAATAAAATATTTATTGCTCATGGCATGATAAAAGTTAATCGGTCATCAAGAATGTGATTGAAGACTATCGATGAATAAAATAATTGAAAGTTTGAATTTTCTTTAGTTATTTTCCTTTTCTTCTTTTTGTATTTATAATTGTCAGCCACGTTATTACCTTAACTAGTTGTGTGATAACACGTGTATTAAATATGATTATACCTAATAAAGCTTGAATTTTCAAGTTTTTTTGTTATCTTCAATCTCTAGATCGAAAAGAGCAGCAAAAATTTAATAATTTTTGAATATAGACTAATGTGTACGAACATAGACATATACATATGGAAAAATTGCATATACGGTCCCAATATTGATCACTTTTGTCATTTTAACCCCCAAAATCTTTTTGTGATTCCTCAACATTCGACTTTTTAGGTACATTTTGTCACTACACAGAGTTTCTATCCAAAAACCTGTTAAGTTGATAGGAGTGCTTATGGAAAGTCACTATTTATTTCGTTCATGTTAGAAATATTGAAATATAAAAGAGCGAGAGGGGGGAAAGATCTTCTTTCAAATACTGCCCTCAAATCTTTATTGCCCTTGCCGACTCGAGACAGACAACACCACCACAAAAGATGGTTTATTTCTCATTAGAATGGAAATTTTTTTCCTAGAATGCGCAATTTTGTCATTGCAATTGATGGTAATGAATTTTTTTTTTTTTCGGTCTCTAAAGATAAGAAATGTAGAATGAACCATAAAATTACTATCATGATCATGGTATTTCTTAGTGTCTCTCGTCTTTCTATTGCCAACGTCTTTAAGAATGCGTTATTTAAATCTAAAGAACCATGGTTATTCGTATTCATAACATTCTTAGCTGTCTTTTGGACCATGTTTATATGGCTTGAAGTGCAAAAGTGATTGATAAAAGGATAGGGATCCACCTGCAATTTAGCATATATGTCTAATATTCTCATTTATTTCACATTTAAATAATGAGTTGTGCTTTTAAGCACGCCATTGACTGTAATAGGAGAAGAAAAACAAGCCAAAAAGATTAGTTGGTGCCAGGCATCATTCATCAATTAGGGTCCTTGTCCATGCCATCAAAGTGAAATTCATCTCATCTTTTTTCTTGCTTTTACTTTCTTGAGAAGATTGAAATTTTTTGCAATTATAATAAAAAAAAAAGTGAAGTTAGCGACAAATAGTCACTAATTAGATTTACTAAAAGTATCATTAGACATGATCGCACATAATTGCTAAGGAAAGAGAGATCAGTCGAAAAATTCAGCATAGAACTCGAGTCCGTTACTTAAGTGCACTAGCGATGGATTTCTTCATAATTAGCAAAGTTAATTTTGATATCCTAATTGGGGAGATTCAAAGTTCGCAAATAATTAAAGTCTTTTGCCATGGTTAAAACTACCGCAATTAGTTTTAAGGCATTATCAATGAAGTTAAATTTTTGTAGATGCTAATTGAGGACATGTGAGTCACAAGTTTAATAATTATTAGTCCTTCAGAAGAGCCTCTCATTCTCGGACCTTAAATATCTTAGTGTCACGTAATAATTTTTTTTTATTGAATCTAAACATTATTTATATGCACATTGCAAAAATTTTATCTATTTATTTGTTCCATCGATAAAGCGTCATTTCAAAATTATTAGAATGGTAGGTTTTTCAATAAATTTCATTTTCTTCATGAAGGTGTTGAAAGATGTGACAAATGTTTTTAGAAACCTCTAGAGTGCCACCTAATATTATCTCAAAACATTAATCATATTCTTTAAATCTCAATTTCATGCTACAAAACTTTCAACATATTCATTTTCATAAAAGGCATTTTGATTTGAAAGTTATTCATATAATATGGCATTATTTGTGAGCCCATGTGATGTCCTAGAAGTTAAGTCATAATATATCCCTCATGTCACCATCCACAAGACAATTATTTCTGTTTAATTGCATGATACATCCCTTCCAATTTGGAAATTTAGATATAAAAGTTTTTGTGTTGACTAAATACACAAAGAGATGGACTAGAAAGTACAAAACTCGATGGGTACTATATACATTTTATTTTTTAATTTAAAGAAATAATTATGTTGAAATTTGCACGCCACATTAAGTGAAGAGTAATGTCTGACTTTCTCGCATATCTAACATATTGAGTTTTTGGAAAAATCTGATGGTACAGAAAAATTTTCCATAGAAAACTTACAGACACTCACATGTAGATCCTATGTGAATTAAAATATTGTAAAAAATAACTCACACACCCCTGCATGTGTGTATTCTGTACCACTTTTGTACACAATTTACTATACGTGTAGCTTGACTCTGAGTTTTTGTATCTGGATAGAAGTTTGTAAACAACTTGTCGTGATGGAAATAGTTATGCTTAATAAGAGAGCAATCACATAGAAGAAATTGAAACGTCCTTTCAAAAATAATGTGAAGAAGACGAAAACGAGTTAATATCATAAACCCAAATTTGGCTG